ATTTAAAGAAAGCTGAAGAAGTCACTGGTCTGGACAGGAATGGTGGGAGCCAAAGGGAGATGGGGAAATATCTTAGTCCATGTGGGCTGCAGTAGCAAAATACCCTAGACTGGGTGCTTTTTAAACAAACGGAAATTCATTGCTCATGATTCTGGAGCCTGGGAAGTTCAAGGTTAAGGCACTGGCAGGTTCAGTGCCTGGTGAGGACTTGCTGTTCTCTTCAGAGATGGCACCTTATCACTGTGTCCTCCCAGGGAGGAAGGCAGGCTCTCAGGCCCCTTTTATAAGGGCACTAATCCCACTGATGAGGACAGAGCCCTTCTGACCTAATCACCTCCCCAAATCTCCCTCTCTTACTGCCACCACAATGGGGCTTAGGTGTCAACATATAAATTGGGGGGGACACAAACATTCAGACCATAGCAAAGCCTGTCCTCCTTAGACCCCACTGGCCATCTCAGCTCCCTTCCTTCTCTGCTCCGTAGCTCACTGTACCTAACTCTGTTTTAGCACTTGCCTCTCTGGGGATGAGTGATTTGCCTACATGTCTGCCTCCTTGAGTAGTGGGGAACCAGATGAACTGGGCGTAGGCTAGGTACAAACCCTGAATGCCAAGGGGGGACAGGTGCCAAGCCCAGAGAGGGGCTGACTCTAGGAGTCTAGATGCTTTATTAGACCTTAGATGAGAATGAAACATTTTATATTTCATGTCTTTTTCAAAATGCAAAGATGAGACATCATCCAAGGGGGAGGCCCAGAGTTCATTTATGGTACACCTGGGCTTCTGTGGGCATGTGCAATTTCAGTCCCTGCTGAGGACCCAAATGTTCCAAACTGGGATACTTGCTGGTCTTCCAGGTGGGGCCCAGCACAGGGTAGCTGTGACCCATTTTCCTGAGCCAGGAGGAAGATGTGACAGGAAGTAGTTGTATATTTTAAAAAGCATAATTTCATGGTGGAGCATGATGTGAAGCTTGGGTTAAGGAAGGCGAATCTGCAGTTGAACGTGACCCAGACTTCCTGGGGGGCAAGGGGCAGTAATACATGGATGTTCTTCTGCCTGGAGGCCCACAGTGGTGAGTTGGAGCCAGCTCATGCTGGCCTAGGAAATCCAATTGTCAATTCTTTTTCTTTTTTTAAAGAAACAGAGTCTCACTTTGACATCCTCAGTAGAGTGCCATAGCATCACAGCTTACAGCAACCTCTAGCTCTTGGGCTTAGGCAATTCTCTTGCCTCAGCCTCCCAAGTAGCTGGGACTACAGGCACCCACCACAACGCCCGGCTATTTTTTTGTTGCAGTTTGGCTACGACTGGGTTCAAAACTGCCACCCTCAGTATACGGGGCCAGCGCCCTACCCACTGAGCCACAGGCACTGCCCCCAGTTGTCAATTCTTTGAAAAAATTGTCAGCCAGTTATTAAATTCAGACATCAATACGCACATATGTGCACACACACAGCTTTTCAGAGAATCAATTGTTCAGCATTTACCAGCACACCTCTGCTTAGGGGATATTTGGCAGAAAGAGTCTGGAAAGGTATTTGAGCTTGAGAAGCACTGGCCATAAGAACTGTTTTGAGGCTTGTTTCGTTTTTAGAGGTAGGGTCTTACTATGTCATCCAGGCTGCAGGGCTATTCACGGGCATAATCGTGGCATGTGGCAGCCTGCAATTCCTGCATTTACGTGATCCTCCTGCCTCCATCTCCCAAGTGGCTGGGACAATAGGCTCATACCACTGAGCCCAGCCAAGGACCATCCTATGATTGGCACGGTCAGATTTTCTTGTTCAAATTGAGGGACTATGTCCTAGTTATTTTTCTCATCTCAACGTCCAGCCCAGGGCTTAGGATGTGCTCAGGGATAATGTTTGCTGGAAGGATAGATGAATGGATGATAGTGGGTATTACGTATTTTCCGCAAGTTGTAGGAGCAGGCATTAGTCATTCAACAAATATTTTGAGTGCCTATTAAGGGCCAGGCATTGTTCTTGGCACTGGGAACACAATTCCTGCCATCCTAGAGCTTGCATTCTACAGGAGAAAAAACAAATGGAGCTATAAAATCTGCTCTCAGGTGATGACCAGTTACATGAAGCAAATCAAAAACCATAGGGGCACGGAGCCAGGGCATCATCCCTCCGCCATACCAGGAGCCAGGCCAGGAGGAGAGATGGCTCCCTCTCTCAAAGTTGTGTGTCCTTAGGGAAGCCAATTCACCTCTCTGAGCAATGGAAACTGATGGTCTCTTGCTGATTTTCGGGTCCCTCTGCAGAGGTACAGGTTCCTAGCCTTGAGAATCTTGAGTTGGCCTTGGCCAGGTCTGAAGCTTTGAATACACCGGCTTACCAGGTGGCTCCGGAGCTCTGCAGGCAGAACATTGGAGTTTGGTAAACAGGGTGCTGTTTATTGTACTGCCCTTTCCCTACATTTGTGTTTGCTCTACTGGAAATACCTGGCATGGACCTGCCTTCTGCTTGCCTCTGCAGAACCCTGGAGTGACATCCTTTGGCTTCAAGTACGCAGTGAGGCTAAGGGGGCCTTTTTCACAAAAGCCCTCTATGGGGTCTCAGCTGCTTGGGGAGCTTTTGAGGTTCTAGAAATAGTTCTAACATCCACCTGTTGTCTTATGCTTTCCCAGTCTCTGCTTCAAGTCCCCAGATCTGAAGTGCCAGGGAAATGCTATGCAACTGATAATGATCTGACCATCTGCCATGGAATTCCTGAATCAGGGAGGTCTTGGGAGCTTCCAGGATGGGCAGAGGGACAGAACAAGGAAGCCCCCTTAGAGAGCTCCTCATCCCACTTCTCCCAGAAAAGCTCCTTTTCATCTGATTTTTACATTCGAGATTTTTTTCTATTTTAAATGTTGTGATTCAATGTACAATTTTTGCTTGAACAAAGGGCTGGGGGCTATGCCTATTTATGGATTCTGGTCTCTGTGAGTCTCTAAGACAGTGGTTCTCAACCTTCCTAATGCCACGACCCTTTAATACAGTTCCTCATGTTGTGGTGACCCCCAGCCATACAATTATTTTCATTGCTACTTCATAACTGTAATTTTGCTATTGTTATGAATAGTAACAAAAATATCTGGTATGCAGGATGGTTTTAGGCAACCCCTGTGAAAGGGTCTTTTGACCCCCAAAGGGGTCGCAACCCACAGGTTGAGAACCGCTGCTCTAAGACATCTCACCCCTGAGATGTAGGGATCCACCTAGTTTAGGAAACTAAAAAGAAGATGACAAGTCAAAACTTAGGGAATGTTAGTTGTGGGATTTAATTCAGGATTATTGCGTTCCATCTTTAACATGTGTGTCCAATAACCTGGGTTCTTGGAATATTCATTCCAAGTTGAGTTAATTTGTTTTATAATTAATTGTTTTTCCCTGCCTGCAACAAATGATTTTTAGATATTCTAAGGGATAACTCTGTATTAACTCTAGGGACCTGTTTATTTTTCCTCCAGGAGGATGGGATTTGCTGTAGGAGACTTGTGCTTCTGTACGTTTCATGAGTGCATGTGAGCGCTGGTGCAAAGCTAGGGAACTTGGGAATCTGGAAATTCCCCAAGGTAGGGCGTGTTAAGCAGTCTTGGCATGTGTTTTTCTAGGTCTGGAAATTGATGTGTGTCTCACGGGCTTCCTCATCTCAGTAAACGACGACCCTATCTTTGCACTGTTGAGGCCAACAACTTTGGAATTGATCGTGACTTCTTGCTTTGCTTTACACATCACAGCAGATCCATCAGCAAAACTGTTAGGCTTAACCTTGGAAATAGATAACAAATTCAACTCCTTCTTTCTACCTCCACTGCCCCCACTAGACCCTAGGGACTGGTGGTATCTTTCAGTTGGGTTATTGCCAAATCTGTCTCACAGATCTGTCTGGTCCTTCCCCAGTCTCCCTGTTAAGACGGATTAACTAAGCACAGTGTCTCCCGCATAACTCAGCAACTGGCCTGTTTTGCCAAGGATAGGGTCTATTAGGATGATTCTTGTTAGGACAGTGCTCTGTTCAATGTATTGTGAAATAAAGTCCACACAATGTACTGCATGTAAGCAGTAAAAGTCATAAAATGGTGCCAAGCAGCACCAAATCCAAGAAAAAGTTTGTGTATCCTGGGAGATGCAAGGTCAATGCCTTGAGAGAACAAAGACAGCGGGAGGTGGGCAGTAGCACTTTCCTTCCAACAGTGACCGTGTTGGAAGCTATGATCCATGAGACACTATGGATCCTGTGGGACAGGAACTATCAGATGTGAACACATTATCATCATCAGTCTTGTGAGGAGAGCATTGAGTAGTTCAACAGGTTTTGACAAATGTGCCCACCAAGGTACCCAACCTAGCTCTAGATCATTTCCATCACCCCGAAAGGTCGTTCTGTGCTCATTTGCAATACCCATTGCTTGCAACCTGTACACCTCCCACCCCAGCCCTAGCAACCACTGATCAATTTTGTTTTGAATCTCCAATGGCTTTGTCTGTCTTTGATTGGTTCTAACATTCAGCTGAGAATGGCAGCTCTTTGTGTACAAGAGCTCCAGTGATGGAGGTGGTTGGCCTTGATCTGCCTGGATCTGCTATAGCTGAGAATGAGAATAGTCTACTTGATAGGGCTCTCAGGAAGTCCTGGAAGGACAGGGAGAAGCGACACCAAGGAGGAAGCCAACACAGAGTGAGTTCATAAGAAAGTTACCACTGTGGGCACCCCAAGCTCAGTTCTGATGGGGAAGCCTGGGAAGCAGTGTAGAACGTGGCCGGGAATTGTCTCGGACAGTCGAATATTTCATTTAATTCTCTGTGGACAGAAATAGCTCCCCTATTTTATAGTTGAGCAAAATGAGGCTCAGAAAGGTGATGCCATCTGCTCAAAGTCAAAGCCTTGGGCACTTAGCTACTTCCGCTGCTTCCCGGAAACATGTTGACAGGCCCCGCCCCAGGCCTTCTTCCCCTGTGCCCTTAAGCTCAGCTGTCCTGCGTGTGTGTCTCCCCTGCAGGAGGGCCGCTGCCTGTATGTCATCCTGCTCATGGCGGTGTACTGGTGCACGGAGGCCCTGCCCCTCTCGGTGACAGCCCTGCTGCCCATTGTCCTCTTCCCCTTCATGGGCATCCTGCCCTCCAGCAAGGTCTGCCCCCAGTACTTCCTGGACACCAACTTCCTCTTCCTCAGTGGCCTGATCATGGCCAGCGCCATCGAGGAGTGGAATCTGCACCGCAGAATCGCCCTCAAGGTCCTGATGCTCATTGGGGTGCAGCCGGCCAGGTAAGGCCAGGTACGGCCAGGTGACACCAGGTAATGGGTCCAGCCCTGCAGTGGGGAGGCGGAGAGACCACGCCTTCGGAGCCCAAACCAGCTCTCTTTGGTTAACTTTCCAGGCTAAGAAACTCATCATTTCCTGCCATTCCTGTGCTTAATTATACCTCAAGTATTTAGTGAGCACCCACTATGTGCCAGACGCAGTGCTAGGCGTGTGGGGAGTTATTGTTAAGGGTGTGTAGGAATCACCCGGAGAGAAGGTTGAAGGCTGCTCTGGGAATTGACTGGCCGCTCTCTGCCTGTGAAGTGGTGATGCCGAGGTACCTGCTTCACAGAGTTGCAGCGAGGACTAATTGGGTGAATGCAGAGGACTGGGTGGCCTTTAAAATAGGGGTATTATTTCAGGTTTTTTTTCTTCCATGAACCTTTTTGGCAGTTTGGTAAATCTTCAGATTATCAGTCCAGAATAACGTTTTTAAATGCCTAAAACACAACACATAGGATTTGGAACAATAGCAACTACATAGGATTTGGAACAAAACGCAATTATCCATATAATTTTGGTTGTTTTTTTTTTTTTGAGACTGAGCCTCACTTTGTCACCCTGGGTAGAGTGCCATGGCATCATAGCTCACAGAAACCTCAAACTCCTGGGTTCAAATGATCCTTTTGCTTCAGCCTCCAGAGTAGCTGGGACTGTAGGTGCCACAATGTCCATCTGGTTTTTCTTGCTCAGGCTGGTCTTGAACTCCTAGGTTCAGGAGATCCACCTGCCTTGGCCTCCCAGAGTGCTGGGATTACAGGCATAAATCACTGTGCCCGGATTACCGAAATAATTTTTAAAAATACACATACACACCTTTATGCTCTAGCATGATATCTATTCCTTTACTGACACAGCAAACGACAAGACATTGTGATGAGCCTAATCACAACCATAACTTTGTCGCAATTTTGAGTGTCAATGATATTTCCAGACATCTGCAACTACCGTAATGGGATATGAAAATACCTGTGATCATTCTTGGTGGCTCAGTCTCAGGCTCTGCTCGTATGACTGAACTTTCTTGCCTGTTTATCACCGAAGGTAATGATCAATTTTGATTAGATGTTAGCAAAATGAAGATACAACTCCCCCCTTCAGTCTTGAACTATATCCATAGACCTACTTTTTATAAATCTCTGTTTTAAAAGATTCTAAGCTGGGGGTCGGGCGCTGTGGCTCACACCTGTAATCCCAGCATTCTGGGAGGCCAAGGCAGGGAGATTGCCTGAGTTCACAGGTTGGAGAGCAGCCTGAGCCAGAGGGAAACCTCATCTCTAAAATAATAGCCAGATGGTGTGGGAGACACCTGTAGTCCCAGCTGCTTGGGAGGCTGAGGCAAGAGAATCGCTTAAGCCCAAGAGTTGGAGGTTGCTGTGAGCTATAATGCCACAGCACTCTACTGGGCAACAAAGTGAGACTCTGTCTCCAAAAAGAAAAAAGAGAGAGATTCTAAGCTGGGGAGTGACCCAGTTAGATTTGCATTTTTCACGGGTTCCTCTTAGCTGCCTTATAGAGACCAGGTGGGCAGGACAGGGATGAGAAATGATACAGCCCAGTTAGGGTGCTGTTTGCGTGTTCAAACAAGAGACAATGGTAGTGTGGCCATGGAGGTGAATGAACAGAATGGACAGATTTGAGAGTTATTTGGGTGATAAAGTTGGTGGCAGGGAGAATGTAGCAGAAGATTCGGGACGATTTGTAAATTTCCAGCATCTCCTTTGTGCCGAGCACGCCACTGAGCTCTGCAGATTTGTGTTTCTTTATGGGGTCAAACACCAACAGGAATTTGATCCCCAGGAGGCACATCCCCTGTCCAGGAGCCCATGTGGCAGGCAGAGGAAAGGGGGAAGACTTCCTGGAGGAGGTGACATTTCAACTCCTCTTTCAAGAATGGGTGGGGCTGCTTTCACTGTCAACCATAAAGTTATAATGAAAGCACTAAGATGCTCACAAACAGATTTTAACACACAGCATAAATCATCTAGAAGGAATCCAAATCAGCAAGGAAACGGAGGACTATTCAATAAATGGGGGGAGTTGGGACAATTGGTTCACTCCACGAAAAACGATCTATTTACGTCTCACTTCATTATGACACATCTAAACAAATTTCAGGTGGATTAAGAGTTCAGTACAAAGAAAAAAAATCATGAAACTTGGATTCCGGGAATGGACCAAGCAGAGGCAGGGAGGCAGGAGAGTTCAGGCACGTCGGGCACTGGCAAATTCAGCAGAGTCTAAGCAGAGGGTGACTGGTGGGAGTTAGAGGGGAGATGGGGTGGGGGGAGTCTGGATAGGACATTAAAGCAAGACGGTGGAGTGTCTTGGTGCCCTGGCAACGTTGTTTTGAAATGGATGCCATCAAGGATTTGGGGATACGGGAAAGAAAATGTCGCCCCTAGGATATATTTAGAACTTTGGGTACCTGTGATCAGTTTACCTAAATATATCGAGCCACAGTTTTCCTAGATGTAAAATAAACCTGACAGGTGGGTTTGGTCCCTGCTTTCCCGCTGACTTGCCATCTCTGAGTTTCAATGTTCCGTCTGTGAAATGGATGGGATGGATTTCTCGGGGATGGCAAAGTGGGACCGGTGCCCTCGGTGCTGGGTCTGCCTCTAACTCCCTCTGTTCCCCAGGCTCATCCTGGGGATGATGGTGACCACCTCATTTCTGTCCATGTGGCTGAGCAACACTGCCTCCACCGCCATGATGCTGCCCATAGCCAATGCCATCCTGAAGAGTCTCTTTGGCCAGAAGGAGGTTGGAAAGGACCTCAGCCAGGAGAGAGAAGAGAACACAGGTGAGGCTGTGCAGAGAGGGACTGGGGCTGATGCCACTGGGAGTGGGAGCAGAATGTCAGGAAGGCCAAGAGCATGCAGCACTTATTGAGCACCTACTATGTACCAGATTTATAATAATAATAATAATAAAGATAAGTCAAAAATGGTGCTTTGGTTTTAAAAAATTTGCATTCATTGCAGGACATGGTAGCTCACGCCTGTGATCCCAGCACTTTGGGAGCCTGAGGCAGGAGGATTACTTGAGGCCAGGAGTTTGAGATCAGCCTGGGCAACATAGTAAGATCCCATTTCTACACAATTTTTAAAAATTATCTGGGCTTGGTGGCATGTGCCCGTAGTCCTAGTTTCTTGGAAGACTGAGGCAGGAGGATCATTTAAACTCAGGAGTTAAGGTTACAGTGAGCTATGATCACACCAGGGGATTACAGTCTGGGCAATAGAACCAGACTTTGGTTTATTTTTTTGTTTATTTTTTTTTTTAAAAAAGCATTAATTGAGCGCTGGAGTGCTTACTAAAATACTGAGCAAAGAGTTAAATGCTTTACCTTAACTCTCAAAATGGCCCTATGAAGTGGGTACTGTAATTAAATCTTATTTTAAAGCATTCGAAGAGAGGTTTGGCTTCACTAATGCCCAGAGAAATGCCAGTTGAAAGAATGAGATTTAAATCCATGAGATGTGCAAAAAAAAAAAAAAAGAAAAGAAAACTGGATAATGCCCGTGTTGGGAAAAACAGAGGTCATGGGAACCCTTGTGAACTTCTAGAAAGGGAGTGTACCAGGTCGGCCTTTCTTAAGAGCATTCTGCAGGAATTTAATCAAATTAAATGTGTATATGCTCTGTAACCCAGCAGTTTTGCTCCTGAGTACAAATGCTGCAGGAACTCTCCCGGAGGCCCAGGAGGGGACACACACAGCATTATTCACTGGAGCATTCCCTGTGGTGTGGGGATTGGTGGCCCTGTGGGCTTCCTCACTGGTACAGGCATAGGTCACTGTGCCTGATCACTACGCTGCTTTTACGAGAGAAGGGTTAGTGAGTCATGTAGTTATACAAATGGGTTTCACAAATCAGGTGGAATGGTGGGGGGGGCGGGAACAGAATGGGATATAGAGCACAATCCTGATATGCAAACTGAAAATACATATGAATGGTGAAACATTTTGCAAGAATGTCAACCAAAAAAAGCTACACACTAAACGCATCAGAATAATCGCTATGGGAAGGGTGGGAGTGGGAAATTGGAATGGAAGGGACTAAAAAAAAATTCAATCAAATAGAAAAGGGTATGTATTATGAACTGAGGGGTATGAGTCTCTCGATGCCCTGGAACTGTGTTCTTAACAAAATATAAACAGCTACTGTGTGATTTATTTATTTATTTACTTATTTATTTTGAGATGGAATCTCATTTTGTCACCTTTGGTTGAGTGCTGTGGCATCACAGCTTACAGCAACCTCAAACTCCTGAGCTCAAGCCATCCGCCTACCTTGGCCTCTCAGGGTGCTAAGATTACAGGCATGAACCACTGCACCCAGCCTAGCTACTGTGTTTTTAGATGATTATTGACGGCTCAGAGAGAGAAATGACTTTTCCAAATCACACAGCAAAGTCAGAGAAAGGCAGGTGCAGGGTCAGTTCAGAGGCACAGTGATGTCAGGACTTTTCATTGGCAACTCTGTGATTCCCTGGGTCTTTCTCTCCTGGTTGCAAAGTGGCTGCCACATCCACTTTGAAATACCTTATTTTTAAATTTACTTTAAAAGGAAGCTTTAAATCAATACCTACATGGGCAGAAGTTGCTCCTATAGCTCCAGCATGGAGTCCTCCTTTGTTCTTTTAATTAACAGAAGCCTACACAGGCCGTGCAGAAGAAAGGCTGGATTTCCCAGGTTCCCTTGTGATCAGATCTGGTCAGGTGACTAAGTCTGGCCAATGGGATGTGCATGGAAATGATGGGTGCAACTTCTGGGTTCTTTCCCTCCTTCTCTCTGCTTCCTGCTGGGTGGCATGTGAATATGATGGTGGGAGCAAGAGATCACACCTGAGACTCAAAGATGGAAGCCACATCTTCAGAGATAGATGAGAGATCTGTACTAGTCACTTTGGATCATTTACCCCAACTAACACAGCAAGCATTAGCCATGAAACCATGAGTTTTGGGTGCTAGTCATATTTTTTTCAAATACGCACTAAATGAAAAATGCGTACCTGTTAAATTTAGAGGTTGCTCCATGTCCCATCTAAGTTGGCCTCACTTATTGACACTGGTATATTTCCCCATCATTCACGAAGGGGTCCTGCTCATCTTATTCCCACGACAGCCCTGAAGGCTAGAAATGATTATAAGTACTTCACAGATGAGGTTCAGAGAGGTGAAATCATGTGTCCAGAATCGCACCATTGGTAATAGAGCACAGCCAGATCCATGCATGGGCAAATGTGGAAGGGAAGAAAGGCCGTATAGTAGGGATTGGTAACCTTTTTCTATACATGGCCAGATAGTAAATATTTTAGGCTTTGTGTGCCACTCTGTCACAACTGCTCGACTCCACCCTTGCAGAGAGAAAGCAAAATATAAACGAAGAAGCATGGCCCTGTGACAATACCTTTTCATGCATGTGTGCTAAAATTAAAATTCCACATCATGTTTGCATCATGAAATATCATTCTTCTATTTTTTTTAATCAGTTAAATATATGAAAACCCTTCTTAGTCAGCCGCCATTCAAACACAGGCGGCGGGCTGGTTTCACCCTGCCTAGTGCAAGTTGCTAATCTCTGCTGCACAGTATCAGCTTTATGGGATTCCAAATTGTATCCCCTAAGTCCGGGAGCTCCAAGCAAACTGCCCCCTAGTCACCCTGGGGTGACAGTAAGCAGCTGGGACTCTGCCCATTCCCCTATTTCAACCCCAGCTGCACCTACTTTATATACTGTGCTTCCAGGTAACTCTTTCGTGGGCCTTCTAGCTAAAGGAGATGGAGCAGGGAGTGAGCTCATTTAGAGACATGGAAACTGAGGAACAAATTAAGAAAAAGGATGAAGGGCGGCGCCTGTGGCACAAAGGAGTAGGGCGCCAGCCCCATATGCCGGAGGTGGCGGGTTCAAACCCAGCCCTGGCCAAAAAAAACTGCAAAAAAAAAAAAAAGAGGATGAAGTAGCGCTCCAGATTACCCAGTTTCAAAGCAGTGTCTGTAGCGTTTTAGACCCAGGCTGGCTGACCTCAGAGCCTGCCCTTTTTCTCCTACATGAGATTTTTTTTCCAAAGTGGCCAAGCAAATGTTTGAAAACCAAGTCCCTCCTTGTAAGGATAAAATCTGAGACCCAGGAAGGGGAAGGGCCTTGCCCAAGGTCGCATGCAGTGGTCATGCAGTGAAATCCAGAATCTTTTCCCCTGTGCTGCGAGACATCAGGAGGCCGGGGACCCTGGGGGGCTGGGGCAGACACCTGCTTTCTGAGGCCTGAGATCAGAGAGCAGGAATCGGTTAATAATCAGCCTCTAAGACCTAAAGCAAGGCTAATTCCAGTGCAAAGGGAAATGCACTCTTTTACCCAGTTTCTGTGTTTTGACCAGGGGTTAGGAGGTGAGGACAGGGCTAAAAAGAATGGAGAGGGACACGGAAGCTCCTAGGAGCTTAAGTTCACACAGGTCATCCCTGGCAGTAACCACGATGATAATGTGAGCCCCCATTTCCTGAAGAACCACCCTATGTCAGACACTGTGCTGAATCTTTCATACTCATCAACTCACTTAATCGTTACTACACTAAAAAACAATGACCCCCATTTTATAGATGAGGAGACAGAGGCTCAGGGAGGCAAAATGATTTGCCTGAAGTAATGTGATGAGTTAGTCGCTGAGTTCTGTTTGAATCCAAATCTGTGCCTCTGAGCTCCATGCTGTGTGGCCTGGCACAGAGGGGCCAGACCTGGGTGGGGCTCACAGGACAAGACCTCAGGGGTCCTCGCTGCCTCTCCCTAGTTCTTGTACCCAGTTCTGTGCCCTGCACTGCCTGGGGGACCTGGGACCTTGTGAGTGGTGAGCGTTCTCCTGCGAGCATGCTCTCAGCCCTGCAGGGGAGACAGCACTGGCACCCCCATTTTACAGAGAAGAAAACTGATGCTCGAAGTGGTGCATTACTTGACCAATGTCCCTTGCCCCGGAAGGGGCCCACCTGGCTTTTGAATCTAAACTCCTTCCCTTTCTTTTCTGTGCCCAAAGAAAACTAGCTGGCCACCCACGTCTTTCCTCTAGGAGTGCCCAAGTTCCACCTGTCCTGAAACAGTGGCTTTTCAGGTCACTCTTTATTCACAATGTTGATCCACCTCCTGAGAATTTTCTCATCTATAAAACAAGGGCAAGAGCCAGGTCCATAGGAAGCAGGGCACGTGTGGTGGTTATACACAAACCACACTGGAGGACCAGGAATAAGAACCCCCACCCTGATGCCCACGGATGCTTCCTGCCCCTCCCTGGGAGGGATTTCACTGTTTGCTCATGATCTGTCTCCTCCAAAGACTCCGAGCTGCTCTTTCTCATTGCAGTGAACAATCTTCACCGCTACAATTTTGTTCCCCTAAAGCACTGCTGACACATAAACACATCGTAGGTGTTTAATAAAGGTGTAAAATGATGAATAAATGAATGGATGATCCATCCAATTAACTGTTCAAAGCCTCAGTTTCCTTTCACCTAAAAAGGAAATAATAATGATTACTGCCCAGACTGTTGTGAATGCTAAATGAATTAATGGACAGAAACCTGCCTAACTTTGGGGCATTTGACCTTCCCTGGGGTGCTCTTTAATTTGACCGAAGAACTCTTTCTCAGCCTTCTACACACCAAACTTCAAGAACATTTCAGTCATGTTAGAGAGGCAAGATGAGCGTTATCAGTCCGCATCAGACTTGCTAAGTGACAGGTCTTGGACGTGAAGTGAGAACCAAGGGGTTAACAGTCCTGGGTACAAGCCTGCCTCTGCCACTGACACACTGG